GTTTGTACACTTTATAAAATACAACGTTTGATGACTTTAGATGTTATGCACCATAATGATCTGGTTATATCTGATAATCATCTAATATGTTATTTTTTATACTAGCAAACTTGAGATTTTAATGCTAAAATTTTGTTTTTGAAGTGCAGTAATTCTCAATATATTGATTCTGCCCAATTTATTTGTTTTGTGTTTTTTTCTGAGGGATAATAAGAGATATCTTTTCTCAGACTAAGCCTTTGAATTCTGTCATAAACTTTTAGTTCATTATGTCAAGTTCATCTGTTTCAATGTAAAGCTCAAAAGAGAAGTATTCGAACACATAATATAATGAACTTCGATATAATTAACTCATCCGATCCATTAGTAAATCCTTCGGAAATAAATTATAACGAGACTTTACTAATAAATCCGTTATATCGAATAGATTTATTATATACCGTTTTAATTCTCAATCCATTATATCGAGATTCACTGTATATTAAAATTGAAAGAATGTTTAATATTTATAACCGACTGCGCGTCATTTTTATCTAAAAGAAGGTGATTTATAATACATTTTCTTTTTACTTGAGGAAAGGAAATAAATTGTGAGTTGTCTAATTTAATTTACTTTGAATATGCGTGTTGTTTGTAAGACTTTAAGGAAAGCTTGGAGCTTGAAAATGGGAATCATCCGATAGAAATTAGAGATTTTTAGCAACACTCTCAAACAGTAATAGTGATATATTGAAACTGGATTTAAAGTTAATCTTTTAATTCATTACCTTCATCATAATTTTCAATCTCAGAATTCGACCATTGAGTCGGATAAGTATGCAAACAATATGAGCACTATAAATCTAAAATTCGAATTATGACAGATAATTTATTACATGTAGTATTTGTCTTGAATGATACCCTAATGGCAAACATCTCTGAGGGAATTATAATTGGATATCAGGAAAATAATTTTTTAGCAGAGATAATTGTTTTCCGACTCAAAGAATATGACAAATGAGTTTTATAATGACAACGATCTAGAAACAATGCATTATGCCTTAAGGACTTACTGGTAGATACTTTTGCACTAAATTGTAAAAGTTTTCTACCAGATATTCATTAATATCTGCCAAAAAAGCCTGTTATAATCTATATGATAGGATAAAAATATTTCATTCCAAACGGATTGTACTTCGATTTTTTGTTTTGATCTGAGTAATTTTAATATTAAATTTAAGGTTTTATCACGTGTGGCACAGTCAAACATCATGTCGCATGAAGTTTATGCATGAATAAAACATAAAAGAAAAAGAATGATTTGTTTTCCAGATATCATTTCGAAACAAATTTCGGGTTCTATCCAAAATGTTCGTTAATCTCGAAATCCTAAATATAGCCCCGGATTCCGAAAAGAACTTAAAAAGGAAAAGTCAAATTTAAAGTAATGCATGTAATAATATTCGAATCAAAGTTCGCAATAATAGCAAAACATAGCTAAAAAGCACACGTCCCTTATGTTACTTGCCATAATTTACTTACGGATTACTTGAAAATTTGGTTTTCATAAAGGCAAATTTATTTATGCTTGACGTAAAACGGCAATTCAAGTATCCACGATTATAGTCCAACTATATTGTTTAGCGCATATATATTATATTGGTATATTCGAAGGTTACTTTAATTGCCAATGAGTAAATGTAATAGTAGAACAAGTACTCTCACTTTTTAAAAAGAAATATATAATCGTTAGTCTAAGACAAAAAAATTAAAAAGTGTGAGGTAAGATAAACGTTGTAATAGTTCTTAGTATTCACAACAACTTATTCAAAAAGTAGTAAGAACCCACTCAACTACCAAAGATCATTTTTCTCCCAAATCGAGAGAGAAATATATAAGGTCATAGGTTATATACTGTCGTTTCTTTTGATTTTTTCGAAACTAATGTAAGGAGGCTCATTTAATAAGTTCATAAAAAACCTAACGCTAATGAGAACCGCTGTTAAGTCTCACGAGAAAGTAAAAGGACACTGGAAGCCAAAGGTTTTAGTTTGTTTATTTCTTTTAAATTTTATTATCAAAAATACTAAATATAATAATATGATAGGATGATGTTAAGCTGCTATGTTGGTATAGAAAATATCCTAATCAATGGCAGATAATATCAGAAGCAATGGGAAAAGGACGTAGTCCAAAGCAATCGAGAGAAAGGTTCGATTTTGTATATGTTTATGATTATTAGCTAATATTAATATCTATATTAATTATTATTTCTATTATCATCAAATTAGATATATGAATCATCTGGATCCTCGAATAGACCATAGTCCTTTAACGCTTGCTGAGCGGACCGATATTTGGCTCTTGTATTTCTGGTTTGGTAACAGTTGGGCTTCGATTGCATCGCTTTTTCCTGGACGAACAAGTTTGCAAGTGAAAAACTACTGTATGAGTAGATTACGATCAATCAAAACAAGGAAAAATTTTGAGGAAAATACACTTCTTCCGTCTTTAGACTCTCCGACTGGTTTACTCCTTTCAAGTAGTCAGATAGATCGAATGAGAGTAAATTTTCTCTTAAATTAATTAAGATTTTCAACACACACATACGCAAAAACTGACCAGTACATTTGCAAACAGAGTTTAATTTAAATCTTTGATTCTCGATTTAAATCTAATAGTGTTTAAACTTACGTATATGAGACACAAGTATTGTTGCATAATCAAATTCATTATTATATTATCTTAAAATCAATGAAATATATTGTAGAAATAGTAATATCAAGGAGACGCAAGCTAAGTTTTAAAGATACTATATTTTAATACACTTTTACATGTATTTGCCAAATCTTGATACAGACATCCCGTGTGTACTTAGGAAGAGTTAACTGTATCCCAATAAACAAAGTTTAAGCGAAAAACAATATTATTTTAACTTGACGAATAAGAAAAAAATCAATAACTACGTAATCGATTTTCGATCATCCAACTCGGTCACATTTCAAATAGGATATTCCGATCGGTCACGGTCATGTGTTACCGAAAAGAGCTTAAATAAAAAACGTTACATATTCTATTAAGACAAGAAAAGAAATGCGAAAATATACATGTAGTTAGCTTAATTATTATTTTCCGGAATATATGGGGATAACTTAAATTAACTTATTTATTATTGAGAAAATCTTGAGAAAGATTCTACCAAATGCAATCTTGTCATCTTTAATTAAAAGTATACTCCCTACTTGTTTCGAGTTTATAAATGAAATAAGATCGAAAATACTGGTCAAGAAGGCACATGGTAAAATGAACTCTCAACCAGAGATTCCCTTATCTTAAAGCTTATAAATGGTGTCGATATTATCCTGGCCTGGTTACTGATTTTCTCTCGGGAAATGCCTTTTTAATATGTGTGATGACATAATAATTGTAAGGGATTTTTTAATTATAAGGGATTTTTTAATAATTGTAAGGGATTTTTAATGTGATGACATAATAAACGTAAGGGATTTTTAATATGTGATGACATGATAATTGTAAGAGATTTTTTAATTGATTCTAACGGTATTTATTCATTGTATTATGATAACAGCTCACTTCACATATGATATCTATATATCGTATATATAAAAGTTCGCGATCCGTTATTAATTACTTGTTACGTTATATTTTAATATGCATAAAAAGAAGTACAAATTTTTTCAAAGCGTCTATTTTCTTGCTTTACGTCTTTTTAATAGTCTTGTATAATAAAGATGGAGTTTAATACTGTATTTCATTTGAAATTTTCTTATGCAACAATGGATTGCAACATACGGCGGTTAATTGAGATGCCAACTTTAGTATATAGCGTTATAATGTTAAATAAAAAAAATGAGTGAGATGTCTGCAGTATTTTTGCATAATGATGTAGTAAAAAAGTAAATGGAATGCAGAGTTCAATATTCAAATCTTTAGCTTCATTTGAACTTAAATTACCTATGCAAAAAAAATAGAAATGTTACACATAAGATTTTTACTTTTTACAATATATAATTAAATTGATACGTAAAAATACTAACATATTGATATTTTTCTGATATTGGTTAACATAAAATGGAATGAAATAAAGTCATACCTCTATACCGTCACATCCTATATAATCGCACCCTCTTTACAATCACCTTTACCTAGAACATGTACCAACTATATGTATTACGAAGCATAGGAAATTTGACCTCAACCTGAGAAATTCAAAAAATGTAATTACTGCAAAATTTTAACAAAAATTAAATTTGCAATTCTGTAAAGAAAAAATTTGTAAAGCGACTTTTCAACGTATCTAGTGATCGGATTCGAATGATTTTGGTATCATTCGATTCCCTCGACTAAACGAAGACGAATTCAATGATATTCAAATTATTCGGATTGGTTCACTGGATCCTGAGATAGTTGCAAAATTTTTAGGTCCAAAGTAGTTCACTTTTTAATTTTTCCTGATGAAAGTGTTGAATTTTATTGTTTATACATATTTATTGTAAATGCCATCTAATTTCATAAATGTTGATTATTTTATACTGATTTAGTCAATTAGAGTTTTGGTTCAGTTTGAACTTGAACCAGACTCGAATCTAACCAAAAGTCCAGTTCAAGTTCAAGAAATGTCCAAGAAAATTCTAAATAAAGTTATAGATCATAATCAGAATTGCAAATTTGTATAAGTTAGTTAGTATTGAGAATGAATATTCAAAAATTTAAATAAGTTTAAAAAATCTTTTTAATTACTACAATTTTAATTTGTTTTAGTTAATAATTATTTTTCAATAAAAATTATAAACTATGATTCTAAGCAAAGTTGTAGCCAAAAATAATAGTTATAATTGATATAAATAAATAGTAAAATATATATAATCTAATGATATCAATAAAATTTTGATCTTTTCACACTTTTACAAAATAAATATATTTAAAAAACTCTTTAGCTTCCAGTTTATAAAAGCTAATTTCAGTTTGTTAATTTTTATAAAGTAATGATATTTTAAAGTACATTACTTTTTATATATTATCATTAATTTAAAACAAATTATAAGTTATATCACTAAGCAGAATTATTTACAATAATTATTAATATAATTTGAACACATAATATTTTCAGAAAATTTATTCGAAAATTCAAAAATATTACTATATATAAAATTTTATACTGAATATTTTCAATTAAAAAATAAAAAAATAATTATTATAATAAAACTAAATTATTTATAATTTGTTATTTGATTTATATTTTTATATAACAAAAGATTTTTTAATAAAATAATTTTTTAAATATAAAAATTTTATAATATCAAATAAATTTATAATTGAAAAAATTATATATGATAAAATAGTTTTATTAATAATACTTTTTATTATTATTTTATTAGTTCTCTATAATAAATTATATATATATATAATACAAAATAACAAAATTATTAAATTATTTTAAGTTTAAACCAAAACCAAAAATAAAATTAAAACTTAATAAATTGTATTAAAACAAATTCTATTTTTTATTATATAATAAAGTAATATATTTATATAAAATTAGTTATACAAAAATATTAATATATTAATATATATAAATATCAAAATATCAAATTATTAAAATATTAAAATATCAAAATATCAAAATATTAAAATGTTAAAATATTAAAATATTAAATTATTAAAATATTTGTTATACTAAATAATAATAATTAAAATATGTAATCAAATAAATATTTAATAAAAAATAAATAATTATAAATTAATAATATAAATATTAAATAATTAATTAAAATATAATATAATATTGATAATAAAAATATAAATAATAAAATGTTATATATATAATTCAATCAAAAATATAAAAAAATAAAATATTTAATAATAATTTAAAATTTATTAATTAAAACTTTATAATTTTTATATAATTAAAATATATTTTAATTTAATAAATTATATTATTTTTATTTTTTTATTATTTTTTAATAAAATTTTAAAATAAAACTTTTTGAATTTTTAAAAAATTAGATTTAATATTTTTATTAATATGTATATTAATATCAATAAATTTAAAAAATATTAAATTAGTAATTATTAGTAAATATATTAATTGTGCTAATTTTTTTGATTATACTAATTTTAAATTTATACAAAACTCTAAAAATACAAATTTTAAATAATATAATTCAAAGAAATTATAATAATTAACATATTATTTATTTCTTAAAGTTTTTCAAATATATATTTATTTAATAAAAAATAATTTTCTTTATTCAAATTTTAGTATAATATATATTTCTTGATTTATAAATTTTATTAGAATTATATTATATTTCTTAATATAATATAAATAAGAACAATTATACTTTTTCATTTATTTAATATAATATTATATTAATAAATTATAGCAAGATTATATAAGTTCTTAATCTTTAAAAAAATCTTAAAAAAGCAATATCTTTAGAAAATCTTTATTTAAAATTACTAAATTCAAAATTATACTTTATTATTTTTAAAAGTTATATTATTTTTCTATATTAAGTATCTTTATTTAATATATAGTATATAATATCTAAAGTTATTAAATTTTTGTGTTTTATAAATATATAAATATCTTTATTAAGAAATAAATACAAAATTTAATTTATAAATATACTTTAAAATAGCTTATTTTATTATATTTATGGATTAAATTTTGTATTTACTTCTTTATAAAGAAGTTTATAGATTTTATAAAATATAAATATTTAATAACTTTAAATATTATATACTATATTCATTTTGATCTTTAGTTAAAGTTATTATAATATTACTAAATTATTTTTTGTTATAAAATTTTCAAATATTTTCAAAATTTTATTACTTTTCAAATAAACTATATTAAACTTTTATATAAAATTTTACTTTTAGATTTTTATAATAATATATTAAAAAATATATCAATTATAAAAATTATATATTATTACAATAATAATATAAAATTTATTAATTCCAAAATAGTTAAAAAATATAAAACATTTAAAAATATTTACATTATAGCAAAAATCTTTCAAATTATTTTATTTTTTCTTTTATTTATCTTTTATTTTATTTTTTATCTTTTATTTTATTTTTTATTTTACTTTTTATCTTTAATTTATCTTTTATTCTACTTTTTATCTTTTAATTTACCTTTTACTTTTCTTTTTATCTTTTATTTTACCTTTTATTTTATTTTTTATCTTTTATTTTATCTTTTATTTTACTTTTTATCTTTTATCTTATATTCATTAACAATCAAAAATTCAAATAACAAAAATTAAAATACTTAATATTCAATTTTAATAATTCTAATATAGTGATATATTTAATATAATATGATATAAAGCTTAATAATCTAATAATAATGATTTATTTAGTATAATATAATTTAAAGCAATTAATAATTTATTAGATACAATATTGTTACAGTAGTAATATAAAAGTCGTTAATTCCAAAAATAGTTAAAAAACATAAAAATATTCATATAATAACAAAAACCTCTCAAATTATTTTACTTTTACCTATTATTTTACCTTTTATTTTACTTTTTACCTATTATTTTACC